TTTACCCGATTTTCTATCGAGGCTGCTATGTGTCATCCTGTTGTATGACGGAGGATTGTATCACTGTAAGGTAAGTTTCTTTCGGTTTCATTCACTTCCAGTGGATGGGGGGATTAGCAGTCACGTAAGGAGAAGGGAAGAAAAGGAAAGAAAAGGAGAAAACCCCACCTTTGGCATGATTAGCATTTTGTAGGAACAATTTTATTCCCATGCACCTGTGCGAAAGAAGAAAGTCGAAGCACTCTGACCAAGTGGCCAACAGGAAAAATCTTGAGCGATATTGATGAAAGACGGGGTTTCAGGCCTTTGACCCTCACGGTTTGGCCTATGATAGAGCTTGAGGTGTGCGGGGAAGCCGTAAGGGGGTGGAGGTCTTGCGTGATACGGGGGATACCGGTACTCGAGTACCGGTATGCCTACCGTACTCACACCATTGGAGTTCGTCGTGAATGTGCGCAGCGATAAAAGCACCGGCAGATTGTGATTACCTCTGAATTAATCTGGACTAAAGGAGAGAGGCCCAATGGCTATTTGCAAAGACCGTGAGGGCCCCCCATACCCCATACCCCCAACCCAATTTATCATACCGGCAAACTCACCAGTGACAAGCAGTGAGTCCCACCCTGCACCCCTCAACTTGCACCTCGATAAGGCGGTATTTGATACCGGTAGACTAATATACGCATCGGGGCATGCTGCGGTATTCTGCGTTCGCTGCATAGCCGCGGAATACCGGTAGTTCCTACCGCATCCAGCCAGAGCCGCTGGAAATGCTATTCGAGTGACACAAGACTTGGTGTGGGGGAACCCCGCTTCTCTTCATCTCCTGAAAATTTTACCCACCCTGCCTCCGGAACCTCTCTCTACAAATCCCCAGCAGCGAAGAACAGAAAATGTCTCCATTCCCCGACAATGCCCAACTCCCTTAGCACTACCCCTTCTCTTGACACTAACTCTCTCGATAATCACCTTTCGAACAGCATTACCGTCGTCGATGATCGGTCCGGGCTCCTGACCTGGTCGTCTCCTCTCGAGCCCCACATACGGTATCAGGACGCTGAAGCACGCCGTCTTGACCATGTGGGGGACTGGCTTCCACAGTCTGGGCAACTTGGAAGCTGGTGCGACGGTAATAGCCAAGGTGAATCTCGGGATGGGACAACATTTTGCTGCTGTGCTCCGGTGGTCGACAAGACATATCTCAGGCAAGATTCTATACTATCCTTGAAAGGGGGGGGGGGGTACAAAGAGAACTGTTTCTAACAAGCTGTGATGTTAGTTCCCTGGTAATAGATACCCTATACGACCAGGCCGAAGGACGGAATATTGCCGTTGCATGTTTCTACTTTGACTTCGCCACTGGAAAGGTCCGGACTCCGGCGAGTACGCTCGGTGCCCTGCTGAAACAGGTGGTGGATAGACTGGACAAGATTCCCGGAGAAATAATACCTGCTTTTGGAAGGCAGAGAAAAGACATCGGTGGTCGGAGACTCCGACTCCCTCAAATTGTGAAGATGTTGGAGACTGTTATGTCCTCACAGCGTACATTTATATGCATCGATGCTCTAGACGAATGCATCGATGCTTTGGATGAATGCATCGACGCTCTAGACGAATGCATCGACGCTCTAGACGAATGCATCGACGCTCTAGACGAATGCATCGACGCTCTGGACGAATGTATCGACGCTCTGGACGAATGCATCGACGCTCTCGACGAATGCGGCCCAGGACATCGGGCCAAGATCCTTGGTTCACTCAATGACGTTACCCGGGTTTCCACAACCCACTCGGCTATTCCTGACCGGGAGGCCACATGTCCAGGGTGTGGCGGGAAAATGTCTTCCCCAAGGAGCCGCAGTTGTGTTGACATTTCCCGGAAAAGATGATATTATCCGATATATCCGCGCGTGACTGGACAAGGACACAACTTCCGACGAGATGGACGAGAGATTGGAGGCAGATATTATCAACACGATTCCCGAGCGTTCTTCGAAATGTGAGTAGGATCAACGACGCGGGAAACCGCACAAGAGCATTTGCTTACTAATGTATCCTAGATTTCTGCCTGTTCCTCCTCCGAATATCGATGCAATCCTGCAAGAAACAACCAGCCATCGTGGGTGCGATGACTCATGGCTTGGACTTGGGGGGCGCGTATGATGCGACGCTGGAGCGGATAAAGGCACAGGCCGGCGAGAGATTTAAACTCGGGATGGCCGCTTTGATGTGGATCTGTTATTCGGAACGACCCTTGAAATCGGAGGAGTTGTGCCATGCACGGGGGGGTCGACTGTCCGGCTGATCCACTTCACTCTCCAAGAGTATCTGTCCAGTTCTCCCGACCTTCTCGGTGGACTTCACTCGACAATTGCGGAGACCTGCCTGACCTATTCCCTGCGGGTCACGGACAAGAGCCACACCCTTTCTCAAATATTCGGGGACCCACGCGAAAATGGGTCTCTCGGATCGGGCAAGATGGCTTGCGCTGGAACTCTTTGGCCAGTCCGATAACCACATATCCGCTAAACAAGTTTTGGAGTCCACCGTTTGCTGGGTCGCGGCTTGTTGAGTTGGCGTGGAGTTTGATAGGGATGCAATACCCTGACCTAAACCGACGAGTTGCTTAGAATGGGCATCGGGGAGTGGTGAAGTTACTACTGGGACGGGAAGATGTCAATCCAGGTCTAAAACACGGATATGGCCAAACACCACTCTCATGGAGTGCTTTTTCAAACGGAAAATAAAAAGGTGGTGAAGCTACCACTGGGAACGATGTTTTTAATTTTGAAAACCTAGACGAATGGGGCCAAACACCACTCTCATAGCGCCGGAGTGGTAAAGCTACTCCTGGAACGGGAGGATGTCAACCCCGACAGCCTAGCCGAAGTCGGCCGAACACCACTCTCATATGCTGCCGGGAATGGGCATGAAGGAGTGGTAGGAGCTACTCCAGGTGCGGGAAGATGTCAATCCAAATATACCAAATAGGGCCGAACACCACTACGATATGCTGCCTCGAGGGAGCATCGGTGTGTCGAAGAGTTAATACGAGCTTGGGATACCCTTGCGCGTACCCTGTTTAAGCGCAAAGAGGCACAAGCCTTCTTGTCGCCCTTGAGCCCGAATTTGCGCCGCCTTTTGCGTGGCGCTCATGGAGGCTCATTTGCAGAATCGAAGGGTGTTAAGTTAGCTCGTTTGGAGCTACCTTTGATGTTTCTTGTTTCTTGCAATGTGTGAAGTTTCGGTGGAGATTCTTTCTAAGATATTAGTTTTTTCTTTTATCACGATGGAACTGTGCTGAGAGGCGTTGACTTGTGTGGATATCAAGGGAAGGATCAGAACTTTTCTTGTGTATATCGTAATAAGTCTCTGGAGCTCTATTGGTGTATGGCAATTTCAAAAAAGCAAAGCCCACAATTCTTTGGACGAATTTAACAAGTGAATGGCTTCCTTATACGGACCCTTGGAGCAAATCCTCCACTCTGCAAATACAGTAAAGTTGGGCTACGCAGCCCACCTCTTCACCGGTAACAGTCGAATACCCCATAGTCTATCGAAAATCACACAAACGCCCACTATCTCCGTACTGCGCGTTGAGAAATCACCAGTCAAACTCACTGGCAAGGACATAACACACCATCGTCTCGTACCCGCCACAAGTGACTGTTTGTCGGAAATTCCTTATCGTCAAAGCGACAATCCACCAAAATCAAATCAAAAAATCGAGCACAAATCCTGAGGGAATCATTTCCCATCCCCAAAGATCAAGATCAGATACAAGATAGTAGGCCAGCTATCATACCTATGTATCGACATGTCAGGGGCATTTGCGGAGCATCATGATGGAAAGACAAATCTGCATTAAAATAGGGATACTCGTAAGTTATGATTCATGCCGTCCAGAACCCCCACCGGGCTGCAACTTTTCAATCGCCGTTGGGACCCCTGGTCGCTTTAAAAGAAAAAGAAGAAGAAAGACCTCTACGGTACTTAGTATTCTTAATCTAGAGATTTTTTTTTTTTTGAATCAATATTTTAACGTGGTGGAGGAGTAAAATATTTTTATACGATAGTTGCCAGTGTTTGAAAGCGGGCGATCTGACAGCGAGTAAGGAGGGGTTGCGAGCGGAATAATTTGCCTGTTCAGTGTAGTTAAAATCTTGGGTCATAAATTATCATAATCCAAATTAGAATTCGGTAATCCCAAGCGGTCAGTCCGGCCATGGCTTTGAAGAGGCCTAGCTGAGTCTAGTGGAATTTATCAGTAACTTCAAAAGCCCGGCGGTGACCCGGCAGCCGCCAGGTCGAGTCCGACGCAAACCGAAGTCAAAGCCGCCAATGTCTAGCTATCGTACCGTCTTGAAACCCCGCGCCTGGCCCGGCTTTGGTTTCTGAAAGGTCGCTTTGTCAAATTCCGGCCCCGTCGGCCGTCCCTGGATAAGCCTGGGGCCAATACCGGTATTTGGAATCGGTCGCCGACCAATTGCAAACTTCATAACCCACCTACCCGTATCCAATTGTGGGATGCCAGTAGCCATATTCGCCGATGTTACAAGTATTATACTGTAGTGAAAAGATCCTCCTCTCTCCAAGAGGTGGTATTGTCGTTCTGGGCATTGAGTCCTTCAGCCATTGCTTACTGAGGCTGGGACGGGCGCTACGGGTACTCGTACAGTAAAGTACAGTCACACCCCGCTGTCCCGGATCTCGATAATACGGATACCTCGCTGTCCCGTACGAATCTCTGTGAACTCTGAATTTCTTTCCACCAAAGCCTGACCCGTTGTCCCGGATCCCTCGCTGTGCCGGACGGATTCTTCAGATTTTGGCTGTCCGGGATAGCGAGGTGCGACTGTACTTCAGTCCCGTAGCTAACCAGATACGAGTTCGCGGTAGAGCACCGCCTGATTGGCTTTGATGTGCGCACTTGATCTCAGCCCCAGCTGAACCTGCCGACCACACTCTGTCTTGATCCTACTCAACGGTTTTCATATTCACTGAGCCCCTTACCAGAGCTCTCTCCCCTTCTATTATTAAGTTATACGAAACATCTCAGATTCTCCTTTGCATCATACGGCAGGTTTGATCCTCGCTATTGGTGTAGATCCTACTCATATCTCACGCTGGGTGTTGGCGTGTTGTAGGCCGACTAGACTTGCGGCTCAAGTGAAAAACAATTAGGTAGAAAGGAAAGAGGCTGGGAAAGGGAACAGAACTATACAAGTACAAGTCAAAAAACAAGTGTACGAACTGAGTAAGTGTGGTCCTTGCGCTGTGGGTAATATGTTCTCGGGAGCAGTCCCTAAAACTAACGTTTTATACTGCCAAAGGTTAGAGATCTAGCGAGATTAATTCCCGATCGTACCCAAGGTCTACTTAAGTGTTCCGGAGAAACAAGCCAAACGCGGCCCCGCCAATACCCGTAGACGAGGAAATTTGCTTTCGGGACGACCGCGGCGACAAGTTTAGCTCAAGCCAAGGGCTCGGTTCACTGGTCGTAGTAAAGGGGAGACTTGAGCAAAATCTGCATATTCAAGTAATAGCTCGGAGGCGTACTGCGGATTAAAAATTATGCGTCGGTTTATCTCGGCAGGCATGCGGAAGATACCGGTCCCAGATCATCCGCATAGCTTAAGGAACATCGATAACCAAGGTGTGGCATTGTGCCATCAGGGAAAGTACGACGAAGCCGAGGTTATGCATCGACGTGCGTTGGCGGGCAGGGAGAAGACACTCGGGCCGGATCATCAAGATACCTTACAGAGTGTTGTGAATCTCGGCGCGGCGTTGCATTGTCAAGGAAAGTACGACGAAGCCGAGATTGCGTGTCGTCGTGCATTGGCGGGAAGAGAAAAAACGCTGGGGCTGGATCATCAAGATACCTTAGAGAGTGTCGATAATCTCGGCACAACCCTGCATAGTCAAGGAAAGTGCAACGAAGCTGAGATTATGCATCGACGTGCATTGGCGGGCAGAGAAAAAATGCTCGGGCTGGATCATCAAGATACCATACAGAGTATCAACAATCTCGGTACGACTCTGCGTAGACAAGGAAAGCACGACGAGGCAGAGATTATGCATCGACGTGCGTTGGCAGGTAGAGAGAAAACTCTCGGGCCAGTTCATCAAGATACCTTACGGAGCGTTGGTGATCTCGGTACGACTCTGCATAGGCAAGGAAAGCACGACGAGGCAGAGATTATGCATCGGCGTGCATTGGCGGGCAGAGAGAAAACACTTGGACTAGATCATCAAGATACCTTACGGAGTGTTAGTAATCTTGGCACGACTCTGCATAGGCAGGGAAAGCACGATGAGGCAGAGATTATGCATCGACGTGCATTGGCGGGCAGGGAGAGAACGTTTGGGCTAGATCATCAAGATACCTTACGCAATGTTAATAATCTCGGTACCACTTTACATGAGCAAGGAAAGCACGCCGAGGCGGAGATTATACATCGACGTGCATTGGCGGGCAGAGAGAAAACGCTCGGACGAGATCATCGAGATACCTTAGAGAGCGTTAATAATGTCGGCATGACCCTGCGTAGTCAAGGAAGGTACAACGAAGCCGAGATTATGTACCTACGTGCATTGGCAGGTAGAGAGAAAACACTCGGGCTAGTTCATCGAGATACCTTACAGAGTGTTAGGGATCTAGGAGTGGCGCTTTATAGGCAGGAAAAGTACGACGAAGCGGGGATTATGCATCGACGTGCCTTTGCAGGCCGAGAGAAAATGCTCGGGTTAGATCATCGAGATAGCTTGCTTAGTTCTAATAATCCAAGTGTGGTTCTGCATGATCGGAAAAAGAACAACGAAATGGCAATTGTGCATCGACATGCGGCAGAAGTCGGGGAGAATGCGCTTGGACCACATAACCCGGCCGTCTTATTAGGTGCTATTGGACTAGCTGTGACGCTTCTTGCTGAGAGGAAGTACGAGGAAGCTGAGATCGTGTATCGACATGCCCTAAGGACTATGGAAAAGGCTCTGGGGCCAGATCATCCGGGTGCTCTCGATAGTATGAATCTGCTCGGCGAAACGCTGCTTGATCTGGAAAGGTACGGGGAAGCTGAGGCTATGTGTCGACGTGCATTGGCGGGCAGAAAGAAAGCTCTAGGACTACATCATGCAGCTACCCTTACGAGCGCCGACAACCTTGGCCGAACACTGTATCATCAGAGAAAGTACGAAGAAGCGGAGATGATGTTTCGATCTGCGCAGGCGGGCAGAAAAACATTGTTTGGACTATATCATCCAGATACCCTACTGAGCATCCTTCGCCTCGGTGTGACGCTGCTTGATCGGGAAAAGTATGAAGAAGCCGAGACCGTGTATCGGCATGCCCTAGGGGTTATGGAGGATGCTCTGGGGCCCGATCATCCAGAGGTCCTCGACAGCATGAATACGTTGGGCGAGACGCTGCTTGATCTGAAAAAGTATAGCGAAGCGGAAGTTATGTGTCGACGCGCGCTGGTGGGCAGAGAGAAGACGCTTGGACCAGACCATCGAGATACCCTACTAAGTGTCAATAATCTCGGTGTGGCACTGCGTAATCAGAATAAGCACCACGAAGCGGAGATTAGTTATCGACTTGCATTGATGGGTACGGAGAGGACGCTTGGACGTGACCACCGAGACACCCTAACGTGCGCCTATAATCTGGCTGGGGCGTTGCATTGCCAGAAAAAGTATGACGAGGCTGAGTTGATGCATCGGCGTGCGTTGACGGGACGAGAGAAGATTCTGGGGCTGGGTCATCGACACACCCTTCGTAGCCTCGTTAGGCTAGGCACGGTACTATACGAGAAGAGAGAATACGAGGAAGCGGAGATTATGTATCGGCGTGCGGCTACGCGGGCGGAGAGAGCTCTAGGGCCCGGCCACCCTACCACTCGAAAAACTTTTAACCGCCTCTCGATGTTTCTCAATGCCGGGCCGACGAGTGTGATGAGTACCTTGGACGAAGCATCATGGCAGAGGTGAAGAGTTTGGGTTTGCTCAATGCAATGAAATTATGTTGGCTATTTTTTTTATACATTTAACTTTTCTAGTCTTTTTTTTCCCGAAATATCCAGCTGCTATAACACCGGGATCCTTTTTTCTTGGTGGAGGTATTGAATTGTCTAACCTTTTTCGATTGGAGTTAAAATAGCTTCATAGTTGGGGGGTCCAGTGATTTGCTCTTTTGTAAATTAGTATCAAGACCCTCGTTTATTATGACCGGCCCCAGTAGCTCCTGCTGTTACTTTTCACATCATCCATTCTTGTAAGATAGACGTTATGGGGCACATGGGTAAAGTGGCACTCTACCGCTCAGCCATGAATCAGTTCCAGCCCTATAAACAAGCCTTCTAGGACATCCAGTGTTCCTCAAGCAGACTTAGGCATATGCTACATCTTGCCACGAAATGGAATAGACCTTCCAGAAAGGTGTAAGTTACCCGGAGGTCAAGAGCAAGTGCAGATATCGCAATTAAAGCATTAAACTACTGCTAGTGCTCTACGTGACCAACAGCTGAGCCGAATAGCGCCGAAACGCTTCCCTGGGCCACAACATGAATTCCAACGAGGAAGGACACATATCCTAAAACCAACACACAACACAGGACACCCCGTGCGAGAGATATATACCTTGCGTACCGCAAGTAAGGCGCAGGGCACCATGCCTAGGGATTAACAACGCAATTCACCCCTTCTGCGGAACCTGCGATTCCAACCTTAAATTGCCTGCTGAAAAGCAGAAGAGAAAAGAAAGAAAAAGGGGGGTAAAAAAATCTAACTGTGTCACCCAAGCCCTATGACCCATCGAAGGGCGCACGCATACCCCCCCGCTCGGACAGACATATCTGAGGTATGATACGATAATATAGCTTCCTTCCTCCAAACCTCCCACCTCCGCGATTCCCTGCACAAAACGAGACGGAATAGGTGTGATCACAGGAGCTCACTCGGAGAGCTCACACGTTGTGTTGCTCTCCCTTTAGCTTGAGATACATTTGTGGCTGGTAAAGCCACTTGGCAACAGTGTTCGTGGTCTGAGACATGTTTAGTTGTGGTTGTAGAATGGGGACCAGGGCGGTGGTGAGGATAGTGGGGTTGAAATGGTCGAGAAACCCATTTTATTAAAGATTAGTCGAAAATCGAGTCACAATTGGGCAGCAACAACCGCCAATTGCCGGTATTCCACATAAGGTGCAAATGAGGCGCAATGCTGTGAGTAAAGGGCACGTGGAATGAGCTGACGGTCGATGATACCTGGTAGATGGTTTTCGTTTTCGGTCCGTGAGTCCATCTCACTGTGCCGCCAACAGATCCCTCTGACAAAAGCATACCACAGGAGCCTTGTCTAGCCTCTTTGCAAAGATGTGGCTCTGCTGCTGTCTATGACAAAAAACATCTGAAATTGTCACTTCCCAACTCTGCGCAGCATGCGCCACGTCCCATAGATATCCCAGTGACTGGACACTCATGGCATCGGTCATGCCTTTGAGCAGCTGTGATGCTAGGTTTTGGGCTGGAGTAGGGTTGGAGATTTTTCAACTCCCGTCGGATGGGAAAAGCATCCTTAATGAGGGATAAGGAGGTGGTATATATTTTATGCCTCTTTGGAAAATTCCGAAGAATTGTCTGAGATGGTGAAGAATCCGGAGGGCTGGAATCCGGAACAACGGGGTATGGCTGTAGTCTGTGAGTTGTTGCTGATGTCTGAGAGGGTGTGATTGCGCTGGGAAAGTTATCAAGAGAAAGGGGCTCACATTCCCGGACAAGGAAGCACCTAGCTCTGATACTGTCCCAGGCCACCTAGTAATTTGTGCAACTAGGGTGATTTACTGGAGGAATTATAATATTATCATAGAAAAAGGCCCTTCTGATTGCTTATTGACAAAATTAACAGCACATAGAAACACACCAAGCGTCAACTCTTGATAAAAGTATTTCCATTGCCCTTTTCTGCTCAACATCTAAGAATGGAGAATAGTGACAAAAATTGTCTTCGTGTTTCTAAGCATTGAGAGAGGACACATCTTGTCCCTTGGGCATTAGTTTTTGTTTCCTTGGTATGAATCATATTATACCAGTTGAGATTGGGCATTTGGTACAGGTACAGGGCTTGGTTATGTCCGCTGTTTAATTTACACCATTCCACATAGGGAATTGGCGCGTCCGGGTGATCACAGATTGTCTAGCATGGCGGTGGATTCTCGATTGGCTTTCTCAGTTTTCTCAATGAGTATATCCGTTTTACCCGACTAGGTTATGGAACTTCGATTTGTTTTCGGGGTTAGCTATTCAGGGAGAGGCATACATATCTAGTGCGATGCCCTTAGCTAAAGCCAGCTGTATTAGTAGTCCCGTTCTTCACCCTGACACGTTTAGTTTTCTTTGACCCATAGCGATTTCGCACCGATCGATTCGTCCTTTGGCGCCATCCCTAGGTTTTTATGAAGCGAGGTGTCGCTGAATATGACGAAGAGCCTCCCATTGAGTCTAGGATAGTTCGGGATTCAAGAACTACCGCTGAACTAGCTAACCGAGATGGCACAGTAAATTTCTAGTGAACAACCCTGAAGGAAATTACAGTACGGGCGATGAATGCCCTGAATATATATTGATCCAGGACATAAACAGACCTATTAGGCTATGGATGGCATAGCACGTGTAACAGAAGGTTTAACTGCTACCCCTGAGAGCTATTATCCAAGCGGGTAACTTGATTATCACGATTATTTCCTAGCCTGATGTATAGCCCCATCATAGACCGTCACTCGTGTAGTCCATAAGTTCCACATGGAAGATGCAAGAAATGATAATTATAGTATCATACAGTGCTGTACTCGACGCTAAACTCACCATGTGCCATTTCCCGAACTAGTACACGACAAACTATATCTTAGTAGAGGCATCAGATAGCCTAAACCGGGTGCACGGAGGTAAATAAAAATCACGCTGCAAACATATAGCCAACATCACACACAAGAACATCACGGATTAATTTTGTGTCTCTTTAATGATGCCCTCACCCCTCTCCCCAACGTGCGATCCTTCTTACACGCCAGTGCCAAATCCTCACCATCAAGTCGTTTGCCTAACCATGGCCTAATCCGTAGGCTGTCAAAAATTCACTCGCTGGTGCTGGGGAACTCAATTCATCGGCCCTTCTTCCGCCGGTGGGTCTGAAATTTTCCCCATGCACGAGATCGCGAGCTCGTTTCTACCTGCAATGTGACCTCCGGCTGACAGCCCAATTTTAAATGGAGGAACAGGGTGATTCTCAACTGGTTTATGGAGTAAGTATGAGATTATTATTCGTGGAGAGACCGTTTCCTTGAGCTTACGCTTTCGCCGTGAGATAGACGAATACCCGCGTAATCTCACGATTTGGTGATAGATATGGAGAATAATCTAGCCTGGAGCTTAATAAAGTGGTGGCAGAAGATTGTGCGGTATGGGACCGCTTGGATGTAGAGAGGCTATATTGGGGTTTAGCGGGACACTGTTGGGTTGTGTGAGCCTCTTCCTTTTTGACTTATTCCGCCGGGTTAGTCTTTCCAACCTCAATGGCTATGAGCATGGTCACTTCAACTTGACATGAGCCTCGGGTGGTAAAAGACACCATCACTGGGAATCAGATTTTGTGGTGCTAGATACGGTTTCTTTGCATTGTTCCTTGTACCTAGGGTTCGCGGTACGGTATCAGCTGTTTAAAATACTTTAGCGTACAGTGCAGCCGAAGGTTAATCTCCTAATGCGGCAATGCCCCTTTGCCTAGGAGAGGAAACCGCGAACATATGGGCCTGTGATGCTTTGGGAAGGGGGGAAGAAAAAAAGTAGGCAAATTGAGGCTGCCCGGATGGGAATTCTTCCCTGCTCACTCGCAAGTCTGTGTTGCGCGGAGCTGTGGGCCGCTCGATCACTCTTGACAAGTTGGGGTTGGATACTGTTGCTGGGGTGGCACTTAATCTCGGTGCCATAGAACTCTATACGGCATTAATTCTCCTTAGTAGGCGTGACTATGAGGCGTGACAGCAGCCCTACCTTACCTGCTAGTTCATAATGGGAAAGGAATGGTATATAAGGGCATAATATTCCTTAAACTATCCGCTCACTGTGGATTCCAATAACCATAACTTCGTTAGCGTCTAGCTTTTGCCCAAGTTTTCACGAGTGATAAGGGTACCTGCACTTCCTATTTTTCTTCTTCTCTATACCCGTATCTAAATAAGCTTCATGGCTGCACTTTAAAGGAAAGGGGGAAAAAGGTACAAGGGCGTTAAACGTGCCAAGAAGATTTTCAAACATAAAGAAACAACTAAAGTAGATAGGTTGGGCTGGGAATTCCGAGGCGCATTGGCTTATCCAGATACATAACTCCTCACTATCGGGGGTGGACTCTTGATTACGAGCAGAAACTGACGAATCTTGACTCGGCGGAATAAGAGAATACGTAAAACTTAGAGATTTGGACGGGTATGTAGTAGATATGTGCAGTGCCGCCGCAAATAATTTCCTTTGGCAGGAAGAAAATATTTGAGCAGAGTTTCTGTGATGTCTTGGGCAGCGGGGGGAGGGCGGGCGGGGATGAGAGGAGGGAAGCAATGATGGCGGGATGGTTAAGGAGCTCTTGCGATCGTTTCAGTAATGGCCCAGAAATTGCCAGTATTCGAGGGCGGTAGGGAGAGTGACGCCTTTCCGGCTTAGGCCTTGCTAGGGGTGGGAGATGCTAGGCGCTGTAGAAGAGCTATCGCACCCGCATGGCCACGCCTAGGGGCCCACAATGGTGTTTGGCCGTAATTTTCAGGTTTGTCATGGCTCGCGTCACCCTGTCCGAGTAGCATTTTCACGACTCCCTCGTGCCCACTCCCAGCAGCCTGACTGAGTGGTGTGCGGCCATAGTTATCTGGTTTTTCGGGGTTGACGTCGTCGCGTTGGAGCAGTATTTCCACCGCTCCCCCGTGCACACGCCTAGCAGCAAGCGCGAGTGGTGTTATACCATACTTGTCTAGTTTGTCGGGGTCGACGTCTTCCCGTTCAAGGAGTATTTTCACTACTCCCTTGTGGCCGCCAAAAGCAGCCCAACTGAGAGGTGTTCCACCATTGTCATCTGGTTTGTCGGGATTGACGTCGTCCCGCTCGAGTAGTATTTTCACCACTTCCCAGTGCCCACACCAAGTGGCCCAACTAAGGGGTGTTCGGCCGGCATTATCTGGTTTGTCCGGATT